GTGCATCTTTTTCTTCCACACTTTTTCCTTCCACTCAACTTTCTGTTAACATGCTTGGATACAGCACTCTGTGAACAGCCAGCTTCTTTGGCAATGAATGTTTGTGGCTTACCCTCCTTGTGAAGGGTGTCAATAATTGTCTTCTGGACAACTGTCAGATCAGCAGTGTTCCCCATGATTGTGTAGCCTAGTGAACCAAACTGAGAGACCATTTTGAAGGCTCAGGAAACCTTTCCAGGTGTTTTGAGTTGATTAACTGATTGGCATGTCACCATATTCTAATTTGTTGAGATAGTGAATTGGTGGGTTTTTGTTAAGTGTGAGCCAAAATCATCACAATTAAAAGAACCAAAGACTTAAACTACTTCAGTCTGTGTGCACTGAATTTATTTAATACACAAGTTTAACAATTTGAGTTGAATTAATGAAATAAATGACATTTTCCATGACATTCTAATTTATTGAGATGCACCTGTAAGTTATGTTGCTCCTGCAAACTAACCACTGCACAGAATATGAAGAATATCAAAAACTTTGGGAGTCAGCTGTCCACGGCAGTCCTAAACCTGTCAAAGTACCAACACAATAACACACTTTAATTTAATTATTTATCAAATTCCAGAAAATATTGAGATATAATTTTTTGTCATTAAAACACACCTCTAGTGTTAACCCTGTTACCATTATATATTTAAGAATATATAAGTAACAAAAACCGTTTATCATCTTCCTTTCAAGAAATGAACAGTTACAGCCTCCTCTTTTTAAATACTTTTTATTGTTATTTTAAAAATACCTTAAACACAAGGCTTATAATGTCAGATTAAACTAAAATAGTCAATCATTTCCAGTTATCTTTATGGAGGCATAATTATATCACAGTGTATACTGAAATTAATTTGGCTTTAAATGTCACAACCTAATTTATTAACTTAAACATATTGTTTGTTTGATAGAATGTTTAAAATCATGGTAACACTTTAGAATTGGGAACACATACTGTATTCACTATTAACTAAGAGTTTTCCCTGCTTATTAATAGTTACAAACCCGATTCCAAAAAAGTTGGGACACTGTACAAATTGTGAATAAAAACAGAATGCAATTATGGGGTGGATTAAGGGATCAAAATACAGTCATGCAGAATACGGCATTAATATATGCTTTATAAGTACTAATAAACAGCCAATATGCTAGTAATATGCATGCTAATAAGCAACTAATTAATAGCGAGAATTGGTCCTTAAAATAAAGTGTTACCAAAATCGTTTACATGTTTACTTTAAAATCCCTTTGTAAAACTGGAAAAGGCACCCGTTACATAGAATGACCCAGTTAATAAATGTTTACCGTGGCTTGCAGCACAATACAGAAATTGCCAGTCATATATAATTGTATTAGAAGGACTGTTCCAGGGGACATTTGGAATTGTTTTGGTTTGGACTTGAATTGGTTGCATTTCTGCGAAAGGAACTTGGCAGCTTTAGGCTATAAAAGCCAATTGAAATTTTTATGCAATGCAGTGCACGTATGCAGCTAAGTTTCAGATGTGGTAAGTAACATATGGGTCAGTTCTCAGGCCATTCTCTTCAGCATCCTCTCTTAAAACCTAATATAAACATGTTTGCAGATGATGTGATTACCTAATAGAGCAGCTTTAAGCTCTTCTGGCTCTCTCAGTTTAATAAGCAGGATGTGAGACAGATTAAAGCAGAAGCTCTCCTGGCTCAAATGGTTTGTAAATGCTCAGAGAACAAAAAGCTCCACACTATCGCACATTATTATGTAGCTCTGAGGTGGTGACAGAGGGATGCTTCTGTTAGCATTAGTCAGAGGAATCTTAAGCCTATTATGCTGCTACAGTGTTAAACAGAAACTTCATATACAAATGTAGTGCTACTGATGTGAGTGCAGATCTGAAAATATTTTAAATTCTTCAGTTAATCACTTATTCTTAATTAAACTGCAGATCATCTGTGTAATACATTCAACGCATTAGCTTGCAAAACAGATGACCTCTGGGCAGTTTTTTTTGTGACAAAAATGGGACTTTTTATCTCAAAGGCTGCAAGTGGAAGATATATGCAGTTGTAACTCAGGCTCTTTTTTGTGTGTTTTTGGAAAAAATTACGGCTATGGAGGGGGGAAGTTTATTTATGAGTCTATAGTAGTTACAATTTATGTTACATAGTTACAGAAAACAAAAATACAAAAAAAGTTCCTGATGCATTAAGTAATACATGGGCCAATTCTCAGATATATTTAGATTTTGACAGATATATTTAGTGCTGTGTATTTGTATTAATTAGTGTATAATTTAACAGCAAATGAATTGCTGATAATGATTTTTTATATATATATATA